GGATTCACATGTGATGCTTGAAAACGAAAATAATTAAGTGAAATTCTATGTGACTTCATGAGAGTTGGAAATGAACAAATTATATGACACCCAACCCTACCATTCCATACACAGTGTAAACTACACCCCCAAAACATCCATTCACCGATGTATTCTATTTGACTTCTCAGGAGAAATTGAAATAAACAAATTATATGACAACGAACTTAATTATAATTTCAGCTTCTAGTTCAGCACTGGTTAAATAAACTATGTCGTCTCTATGCCAACTTGAAGTTATTCATTGCTTACACCATTGACTTCAAAGTCTACGTTTCAATCCGAGGATTAATTGCATTGGAGTGCCAGTCTTTTATTTTTCTATTGTAATGTCAATTTCTTGCGATTACTCGGAACATGAAGCTGTAACCACAGACTGTCTATGTTCTGTAGCTAAATCCTGGTATAAGTACCGGTTAGGCAGGCTTGAACTATGTATTTGAAGCCAGCTGAGAGGTAAATCCAATCCAATAGATTTCTCATTGTTTGGTAACTATTTGCTGCAAATGCAACAAAAATCAATATAAAAATATTACCCACACAGCCTTCTACAGGTTACTTGTTATACATACAGTATTGGTACAGTGATGGTACAATTCTGTAGGCAACAAACTATTGACATGAGGCCGTATGTATTTTGTAAATGTACCACACATTAATTAACGCATTCTTTATTATTCTGCGACGAAAAATTATACACAAGAACGAGGTACTAGTATTTCATGGAAATGTGTTGCATAGTTTTATCACTATAATAGAAGTAATGGTTCTCGCAAATAAAACATGACGACGTAGTACGTATACACACTGCATTAACCACACACGTATGTAAGACAAGACGGCATCTATATTTTGCGTTTATGGCAGCAACGACTCAAGGGTAATATGTAATGTATTAATATGTGTTATAAACATGATATCGAATTCCTGTATATATTTAATTTGAGTAGAGACAAATCATTTTGGGTAGCAAGTCCGTAGCATCTATTTTCAGACGATGCGACCTTGACCCGTTAATGTTCGCAGGCATGTAAGGTTTCACAGCACTGACACCGAACACGAGTGCATATCACTCTTTCTGGGACAAGCCTAACGTTGGACACAAGACAACGAATTACTCGTAATTAAAATACTATGGACACACGACCATACTAGATATACTGCACAACACACATAGTACAACACATTTTACGGTAGTTCTCTTTTTGGAGGATGTGGTGGCCCTGAAAAGGACCGTTTGGTTGGGTTTGTTTGAGTTTTGTATTTGGTAAGTCTAACCACCGAAACCGTACAGAGTACGGCCCTGGCGTTTCAAGGCATAGACGACATCCATGGCGGTGACGGTCTTTCTCTTGGCATGCTCGGTGTAGGTGACGGCATCACGGATGACATTCTCCAAGAAACCTTCAATACACCACGGGTTTCTTCGTAGATGAGACCAGAGATACGCTTCACACCACCACGACGTGCAAGACGACGGATAGCTGGCTTGTGATACCTTGGATATTATCACGAAGAACTTTACGATGACGCTTGGCGCCTCCTTTTTCTCAGACCCTTTCCTCCTTTACCACGACCAGACATAGTTACTGAATTATAGAAGTAAATTCAACTGCCGAATACGCTGAGTTTCTCCGCATTTATTCACTTGTTGCGAACGTCAACGAAAACATGATATTCGGCCTTGGAACCGTGAAGTACGGTTTCTGTACCGCCTATTCTGACGGCCTTTGTTAGGTTTCAATCGTTACACCGATCTTACAGCTGTACTACTGATTGGATATATTTTTGGACCATCTCGTCCAATAGAATTACTTATAATGGGGTCGATACACTTTCATAACGCAGCCTTTCCCGCGAAGTTAATGTTGAATTGTTGCTTTGGGTTGAACGATCTTGGTTACTGTTAATGTTACACACCTAACCTAAAAAACTTATATTTTTATAGAAACATTTATTTGTAAAACCTATTTAAGATTTCACATGCATATGTAAACAGACAGTTCCATTATAAAGTTAAAAACAGATTGATCATGGATTGACGATGATGGCAAGCGGTGAAGTCCGTTGGTCGTGTCTGAACAACGCATACATTGTAACCTTGGTGGATAACCCGCGCTTTCTACAAATTTGCATGTAATACCCTATTGTTTCGCGGTCATCAGTAAATGGCAGGGTAAATCTGAGTGACCGAAATCTGATACAACTACCACAACAATATGTAATCCTTCTTTGGTTTATAGTTCCATGCACTACATACTATTTTGCTAACTTTTTGAAAAAACATCAAGTTCTACGAGGTTTCCGGAAAAAAATCATAAATGTATGTGACAGTCTGTGTGCTGCCTTGCGGGCTCTGATCACTCACTCTGATCGTAGTGTTATCATGTATTACGACGAACTGGTCGAGCTTGAGTACATTTTCGGATTCTGCTGCTATGAGTTTTAACCAATGACATTGCGTTAATTTCAACCAATCAGAAGGTATCGTTATTGACCAATCACAATGCTCCTCTTAATGGCCCTGACCAATTCAAATGAGTATTTTGCGGTATAAATAATTGGCGCCGGTATTTGAATCTATATCACTTCATTCTTGAACAGGAAGAAGAATTCAGCATGGCACGTACCAAGCAAACCGCACGTAAATCTACTGGTGGCAAAGCACCACGTAAACAGTTGGCAACCAAAGCCGCCCGTAAGAGCGCACCAGCCACCGGAGGAGTAAAGAAACCTCATCGTTACAGGCCAGGTACCGTAGCTCTTCGTGAGATCCGTCGTTACCAGAAGAGCACCGAACTTCTGATCCGTAAACTACCATTCCAGCGTTTGGTCCGTGAAATCGCTCAGGATTTCAAAACCGACCTTCGTTTCCAGAGCTCTGCCGTTATGGCACTGCAGGAAGCCAGCGAAGCCTACCTCGTCGGTCTTTTCGAGGACACCAACTTGTGCGCTATCCACGCCAAGCGTGTCACCATCATGCCCAAGGACATCCAACTCGCCCGTCGTATCCGTGGGGAGCGTGCTTAAATCGTATGCCAAGCATACACAAACCAAACGGCCCTTTTTAGGGCCACCACATCCTCCAAAAAGAGAACTACCGTTACCAATATGTGTTGTTGTGTATGTGTTTTGGTAAACTATAATATTGCCAAGTTGCCTTATAATGCACGTTTATGACCTACGTTACTTGCTGTGACTTTAAACGAGCAATTTTTAAGTCGCGGCTCACACATGACAGCTCAACAGTACTCGTTCGATGAAAACACAAACACACATATGCAGTTACCAAAACAATATACGTGTTAGAAAACTCCACTGTTCTCGTTCATTGCACGGATATTATATTGTCCGTAAAACAACGCGTTTGTTTTATAATAAATCATATTTGAATTTAATACGTGTATGTGGTAAGATTTGTTATTTTGCCACAACTTGCACATATCCGTTGTTAGAACTGGAGGAGTTAAATAACTTAATTGAATTTTCAGGAACAAAAATATTTATCTTGCTCTTTCTGCTCCACACGCTGTTATGTAACATGACTCTTACTCTAGTTACATAACCCTCATTCAACTAATTTATTGGTTGCCTGAGCACTAACATCGGGGAGGACTGTATGAAAAAGACTACAAGGACAAATTCATGTTGTTGCAACTCCCCGTGGTTTGCATTTGTCAATAAATATGGACAATTTTTTTCATTCGTACGCAGTTTTTGTACGCATTGTTTTAAAATTGCCTAATCTCAACATTTTAACAGTTTTCAAGACAAAACAAACTGTAGTGGTATATTCAATGTTAGCTGGAAAATGACTTCACACGATTAACCCTCCAGCGAAAAAAAAGGCATGGGTGTATGAATAGCATCGATATATTTGAATGGTGTAATTGAATAACTATCATGTCATTGTCATGTGACTGGAATGGCGAATTCACTTGGTCCCCTATGTAAGGTTAAATAGAGTCTTGCTCCTATAAAGTTCCAGGACAATTGTTTTTCTTCCTTTTTTAGTTCACTGCGTAAACCCAAATGTGTGACCATGAATATTATAGGTACTATAGTAGATTAAATAATTAGCGTGATTTTTTTAAATTTTATTTTCTAATAACAATGACAATGGTTCACATAACAGTAAAAACAACACAGACATGACATACACAACATTACAAAAATAGCTTAGTATAGGGGATGATCATTCCAACAAGGGTGCCAACGCACCCGTTGGCAAACGATAGATGTAATAGCCCCAACCCCAAAACCAATCCGTTACTTGGGAATTTATATAGGTCATGACGTTAAGAAAAGTGTAGAGCCTAACTTCCACTAAAAAATGACAAAATGCTTTTTCTTTACCAGCTTTTTATTCTGAAATTTTAAGTTTTTGGTATGAACTATTCTGTCCTGACCCACCCGGTAATTCAAATGAAGTCAAATCAGAAATACTGACTGTGGAATAATTTAATTGGTGGAAAAACAGTGTGTTATTTACACTGGACTAAATAATGGGGTTAAGTGCATACAACATTTATTAAATACGGATGGTAATTTTATGTCATATGAACAATTTATAGAGAAATACACAATAGACAGATTTTGTAACTTTTAATGGTATTCTGCACGCAATTCCAGCTTATTGGAAGTCCAAATTAGTCACGTTGCTGGAAATATCAATGCGAATTTAACTAAAAAAATAAATGATACAGTTGTTGAGATTGTTATAAGTTATTAGTTGAAAAAGGTCTAAATATAAAGCAACTTATTTCAAAACTATTCAATTCAAAACTATTCTAAGCTGTGAACGTATTCTCTTTGGATTCCCCCAAAAATGTACACTATTAAATCATCTTATTTTAATAGGTAAATATGTTTTATATATATACCGCTTTACAAATGTAACGCCTTCTCTTGGTTATTTTAGAAAGATTGTCAAAGAAAAGAAATGTATTGAAAAAAATGTCTTGAACGAAACAAAGTACGTTTTAATTAGCGTGATTACATGTCAATGTGTGGAGATTTCGTCCACGAAAGGTCACGATACACAAACATTTGTTCAATGGGTTTTGTAGTGGACAGTAAATCAAGTTATGTTTACAGTTATAGACTATCTTTATTGCCCAACGTTTCAACCATAGACAGGTGGTTTTCACCAAAGTGTATAAATTTGCTGGAACACGAACGTGAAGTGTAATGGTGTCATTGTGTTAAATTAATATTAGGTAATATAACTGTAGGATCACAGAATAATGCAGGGGACCTCATAGAGTAGACACTTGATAAATGGGTTTAGTTTGGTTACTACAGTCAGTCCATGGAGGTACATATGTGCACCGTAAGAGAAATTGTCTCGATATAAGCATAGTAGGTTTGGTACTTTGTAGCAATTTTTCATTATTAGCCAGAAATTGTTAAGTTCATGCAATTCTAAACCATTCTTATCCCCTCCCTGGAACAGAGACTGTTCTTCGAATGATTCCAACGGGACAATCCCCATTGAAAGTTTACGTGGATTTGTCTATTATTTTGACAAACAAAATTAGACACTGTTTCGCTCCGAGGTGTGAAGTATGCCCTCAACCTACGAAACAGCCTTGGTAATTATTATTGTTTTCTCAGTTTTCTATTCAAGTCATAGTCATTGTCAAGAAATTCAGTTCATTCATTCCACAGAAACACACGCTACCACATTCACAAGTTTTAAAAAAAAATAAAACAATGCAAACAGCTTGTATAGTACAACTGTGACAAAATTACAATTTCTACGGACAGTGACGTTCTATTGTCTTTTTCCCGCTAAAACAAGTAACACAATAAAATACGTTACTAAGGGCAATTCATTGATAGCGTCTTCGTGAATGTAAATTACGTTCAAATGAAATACAGTAACTATTGTTTTGTAGGCAATGCTTTCGGTTTTGTCATTTTTGAGTTAATTTAATTCAAGAATTTATTTTGAAACACGTACAGACACAGAATAGCCTGAATTCACAAATGGTACGATTGAGTCAGAATTGTCATTACTTGAAGTAGAATAGTAATCTTAGTGTTTGTTCCGTTAAAACAAAATTGGGTGAGAAGAGGTTCATTTTCAAGGTTTGGTATTCAAGCTTCAGTCGATCGAGGATCTCTATGTTTTCGTCCGCTCGTCCAGTTTCGTATTAATGTTCCAACTTTAAACGAAATCCCAGTGTTTTATTTTATAAACGTACAAGAAACTTTTAGTAGTTTATGTACAATATATTAAGAGATGCAATTTGGGCGATAACATAATTTTAATGTTATATTATTGTTTGATATGGAATGTTGGAGTAAACTTAAATGTTATATTCACAGCACACACCTTGAATCGTGTTCGTTCGATGAAATACACTTACGCATGCGCAGGAAATATACGTGCCAGTTTGATTATTTCACTGGAATAGAGGGAATATGATCGAACGGAACAGCGTTTTTAATTCATGCAAATCATTTGCAGCGAATACACCATGTTATATGAAGAAGCCATTATTGTTGCCAAAACAATATAATATATACGTTTTACACACCATTAACGTATATTTCATGCACAAAACAGCTACATGCTAGTAGATCTTTTTAACGCTCTACTGGATCAATTGAGATATTGCGAATCGTAGAAAGTGCGATTTTCATTTTGTATTGTGTCAGATTGTATTGTTTTTAATATTTTCTTTTTCATTATTTGTAAAACATGCTTTCTTGGCAGTGTGTTTAATTTCTACCAGTATTTTCATATACTGCAATTTTATTTGAGCTCATTCTGCTTTTATTGTGATCGGTTCTACAATTTGTCTTCTGAAAGCGCGGCATGACTTTGCCGTTGGTGGCGTGCTTGCATACCGAGACTCAACGGATATTTCGATTTCAATAAAATTCAAATCATTCACTATAGCCTGAAGGAATGCACCAATGCTCTACTGAGTAGTAATTCTACGTGTATGGGACATAATTACTATAAACTATGTACTCGTAATATTTACTGTGAAAAGAATGGTGAATAAAGTACAGTAGAAAGCGTTACGGTAGTTCTTTTTTTGGAGGATATGGTGGCCCTGAAAAGGGCCGTTTGGTTTGTGTACGCTAGGCATACGATTTACTTGGAGCTGGTGTACTTGGTGACGGCTTTGGTGCCTTCACTGACGGCGTGCTTGGCGAGCTCACCGGGCAACAAGAGACGGACGGCGGTCTGTATCTCTCTGCTTGTGATGGTTCTACGCTTGTTGTAGTGAGCCAAACGGGAAGCTTCTGATGCGATACGCTCGAAGATATCGTTGACGAAGCTGTTCATGATTGACATAGCTTTGGAAGAGACACCGGTGTCTGGGTGAACTTGCTTCAACACTTTGTAGATGTAGATACCGTAGGATTCTTTCCTTCCCCTCCTTCTCTTCTTCTTGTCCCCACCACGAGCGGCGGCCTTAGCCTTACCGCCTTTCTTTGCTGCTTTACCGCTTGCTTTGGGAGGCATGTTGAACGTCAGAAATAATGTTCAGAATGACAGTAACTGTCAAAAGTCCCATTATATATAGTGAATGAAATGCAAATGAAGGATTCGACAAGCAAGGCGGGAAACATAACGAACGCAAGAGAAAGCATAAATTTAAGTATTTAAATTACATTGTGTATCTACTATTGACCCTTGACTACATACAACCAAGGTCGTACTTTGCCGTATTTTGATTGGTGGAGGTACTATACGACCAGAATCCGAGCGGGAGGTATAAATACTGGTAGTAAACCGCCAAATAGCTATAGTGTTCTTGACGAGCTAAAGTGATAATTCAATATGTCTGGTCGTGGTAAAGGAGGAAAAGCAAAGGGCAAGTCCAAGACTCGTTCCAGCCGTGCTGGTCTGCAGTTTCCAGTAGGTCGTGTACATCGTTTCCTCAGAAAGGGTAATTACGCCGAGCGCGTCGGCGCCGGTGCTCCAGTCTATTTGGCTGCCGTACTCGAGTACTTAGCAGCTGAAATCCTTGAATTGGCCGGTAATGCCGCCCGTGACAACAAGAAGTCAAGGATCATCCCCCGTCACTTGCAGTTGGCTGTCCGTAACGACGAGGAATTGAACAAACTTATGTCCGGTGTAACCATCGCCCAAGGTGGTGTGCTGCCTAACATCCAGGCTGTACTTCTGCCCAAGAAAACCCACGCCAAAACCAAGTAAACAGTATGTCTATAGCATACACAAACCAAACGGCCCTTTTCAGGGCCACCACATCCTCCAAAATAAGAACTACCGTAAATTGTGTGAAACTGTGAATGTGTAAGCTTATTGCCAATGAACATGCAGTTATTGTTTGTTGTAGTTGACTTTGTATTTCCACTTTGTAAATTCACCATGCTGCGACGGAAAATTGTGTACAGTAAGGAGAAGTCTCGCCGTTTCGGTGGCGTTTCTAACATGAGAGCTGCATAAAGTGTATTGCAACTGTAATACTGCTATGGCAAATACTACTATCAGGTACATAAATATAGGTTTACCTTCCTTAATAATCCAAGTCATTCACTGCCAAGTTAGCTAGTTACAGATAACACACCCCGAAATAACAAACTGAACCAACCAACACCGTTCTGTACACAATCATTAGTAAAGGATAGGATGGGATATTTGGCATGTACATAATACAGAGCTAGTGTAAAGTGCAAAATAACACATACAAAATAAGCTAAAACAACCTTCAACATAAACTTCTAAAAATTCTTATACACACATACTGCAAAACACATTTAACAGTTTAATGCAAATGGGAATTTTGTTTATGTTTTAGCTGAACGTGATGTCCAGGGACAGAGACAAACAAGCAGCCTGTCGGCTGAGATAGCTCCGCTGTTAGCAATGCACATTGCAATTAAAGAACAGAAGATATCATTAGAAAATGAACAATATGTATAGTATCAAAGCAACAGGACTCACTGTTTTCAACAAGAGTTCAAAAATATCACTTTTCACCAAAAATAATCATCAAAATTAGATAATTGAAGATATCACCACGAAATTAACAAATTTGAAAGAGGTCAACATGTAGTACCTATATACGTAATATAAAAGCAATCAGATTTGCGGTTTTCAACAAGTCAAAAATATCACTTTTTACCAAAAATGACAAAAATATTCACCAAAATTATATCTGAGAAAACACCAATTTTGTAGCACGTGTATGAAACAATTGTGTTCTTTGGTGATGGTGGTTGTTCACTGATCATAAAACATATCTAAAACCAGGGTCTAAAACTAAGCGGCTCTCTAAAACAACGCCAACAGATAACGTACTTCCACTACGCAAACACACTATACGCACCCACACATTTTACGGTAGTTCTCTTTTTGGAGGATGTGGTGGCCCTGATAAGGGCCGTTTGGTTTGGTTTATTTACGTTTTGTATATGGTAAGTCTAACCACCGAAACCGTACAGAGTACGGCCCTGGCGTTTCAAAGCGTAGACGACATCCATGGCGGTGACGGTCTTTCTCTTGGCGTGCTCGGTGTAGGTGACGGCATCACGGATGACATTCTCCAAGAAAACCTTCAATACACCACGGGTTTCTTCGTAGATGAGACCAGAGATACGCTTCACACCACCACGACGTGCAAGACGACGGATAGCTGGCTTGGTGATACCTTGGATATTATCACGAAGAACTTTACGATGACGCTTGGCGCCTCCTTTTCCCAGACCTTTTCCTCCTTTACCACGACCAGACATGATTACTGAATTTGTAGAAGTAAATTCAACTGCCGATTACGCTGAGTTTCCCCAGTTTTATACACTTGTTGCGAACGTCAACGAAAACATGATATTCGGCCTTGGAACCGCGAAGTAAGGTGTCTGTATCGCCTATTCCGACGACCTTTGTTAGGTTTCACGCGTTACTCCGTTCTTACTACTGATTGGATATATTTGGGGACCATCTCTCCCAATAGAATTACTTATAATGGGGTCAATACACTTTCGTAAGGATGCCGGAATTCCTTTTCGCAACAATTTTACGTTGAATTGTTGTTTGTGTTGAACTAGATTACTGATACACACATACGATTTCAATTACATGTAATATAACTTTAAATTTCAAATGTATCTGTAAACCGACAGTACCACCATAGAGCTAACGAGATATACGATAATATTTAAACATAAATATTTAAACATTCCGTTGGTCGTGTCCATGTACAATAGAACAACGCACTTTGTAACCCTTATAACTCATATAACACTTTTCCCGCGTTCATTTAATGACCTAGTATAGTAGTAAATGCGAATGCCCGATAAACCCTGATTAAATTGGCTTCAATGGTTATAAGGCAAAAAAATACCAATTTTGGCATTCACGTCATTGCGATGCCCTTTGCAATCTGATTACTTGTTCCGATCGTAGTATTATCACAGTATTACCCTTTTGCGCATGTGCACAAAATTTGTTTAAAGTTTTGTTTGTTTTGTTTTGAATGGGTGTCTGGGAATGCATTAATAAAATGGTCGCTGCTAAGGAGTTTTTACCTCGTCGGATTTCGTGACATTTTCACCAAAACATACAGGATAAAGATAAGCAAAGTTAATTAAAGATTAATCGATCGACTAGAAATGAATCTGTTGTCATTCGTTGCGAATATGAATGGTAATGATTGATGGGAACATTTTTTAAAAATTTTATTTATTTATCTTGACGGACGAAGGTTTCCTTCTTTGCCTATTTCTTTAGTTCTGGAAGTGTATAACTTAGGACGATTTTGGTTCTAGGGGCGATCTATGTCAAAACGAACTAAACAACGTAAAGACTGCCAGTGGTATTACCATGTATGGCTGTGAAACATGGTAAAACGGAATGCTAGAGCTTGGATACATTTTCGGATTCCGCTGCTACAATTTTTAACCAATGACAGCGTGTTAATTTCAACCAATCAGAGAGAACCTTAACTGACCAATCACAATGCTCCTGTTAATGGCCCGGACCAATTCTAATGAGTATTTTGGGTATAAATAATGGGCGCCGACATTTGAATCTATATCACTTCATTCTTGAACAGGAAGAAGAATTCAGCATGGCACGTACCAAGCAAACCGCACGTAAATCTACTGGTGGTAAAGCACCACGTAAACAGTTGGCAACCAAAGCCGCCCGTAAGAGCGCACCAGCCACCGGAGGAGTGAAGAAACCTCATCGTTACAGGCCAGGTACCGTAGCTCTTCGTGAGATCCGTCGTTACCAGAAGAGCACCGAACTTCTGATCCGTAAACTCCCATTCCAGCGTTTGGTCCGTGAAATCGCTCAGGATTTCAAAACTGATCTTCGTTTCCAGAGCTCTGCCGTTATGGCACTGCAGAAGCCAGCGAAGCCTACCTCGTCGGTCTCTTCGAAGACACCAACTTGTGCGCTATCCACGCCAAGCGTGTCACCATCAT